TATATATATGTATATGTATATATGTGTGTGTGTGTGTGTCATAAGTTTTTATGAGCAGTCTGAAAATGTCGCTCCACATTTCCTTTATTTGGAATAAAGATGGTAGATCAAGCATATGCACTTCAAATATGACCGTTAAAAAAAAAAATAAAGTCCTCCTCCCATTCCACATGGAAGTGGTAAGTTTTCAGTTTCTTACTTCGACTCATTTTATACCCTTTCTTTAGTAGAAGTAAATTGGAAGGCTGACAAGGTAGTTGGCTCAATGGAGTTTTGCATTAGCTCCTGCGGTTGACTGCGCATGCTCAGACTGGCTGCCCTGCATGTCAAATGCAAATGTCATAGGGAGGATGGATGATAGGCTAACATTTTTTTTTGAATGGCATGCAATCTATCAACACTGCCTTTGTGATCGACGTATTGGACACCCCTGACTTAGACATTTCATCAAATATTGCCCAGAGGGAATAGATAAAACACATTGATAATGACGAAAATAATAACACTGTCTGGTAAAGAGCTTGTTAAGCTAAAATTTGTTTAGACCAAATGAAAGAGGACTGTGTCTTTTTGTCTCCTCAGGAGGCCATCCTGACCACCATGGACTTCATGCATGATGGTTTTGGCTTCATGTTGGCTTTTGGTGATCTGGTGTGGGTTCCCTTCACTTACACCATGCAGACCTATTATCTGGTCAACCACCCCAACCCCCTGAGTGTCCCAGCACTTACAGTCATCATCATACTCAAACGTGAGTAGGCACAGAGCATCAGACTGAATTTACTGCTGCAGTCAAGGTTTTGAATTATTCATAGCTGAATTTACTGGTCATTGTTGTTGCTTTATCTAGAGTCTTGCAAAGATATCCATTTAGTAATCTCACAAATGTAAACAGAAGGTCATTTTAGATCATTAACAAACAGGTGCAGCTAATATTTCAGTGGTAAGGCCACATTTTTTTTGGTTCAGTAGTGTATATACTGAACTGTTTTAATCACGTGGATCTTGATACAGACATTTTGTTTTCTTTTTCAGTCGTTGGCTTCTACATCTTCAGGAAATCCAACTCTGAGAAGAACGCCTTCAGGAGAAACCCATCAGACCCCAAACTGTCTCGTAAGTTCTTCTGCAGGCTTAGAGCTAATTATGTCTTAGTTTTGTGAGGTGAGATGACATCTTTCCTTGCACATTTCCTTCTTTCCTTATAAGGGAATATTTTAATGTGGAACAGCCATTAGAATTACCAATGTTTGAGAACTGTATTTTTCATGCCAGAGTTTTCGGTGACTGAATTGTCAACAGTGGTGGAAACAAGCGGCAGAATGTTGTTAAAGTACAACAGCAAGTAGTAGTACTTGATTAATACTATCTTTAAAGTGAGCATTACCTACTGTTCCCTCTGTCCTGTCCTTATGTGAAGTCAGTATGTGGAAGGTCCTCTCACACATGCCAAATGAAATGAAGAACTTGTAATCAAGTTGAACATATACTTTCCATTTCTATTGTTATGTTCTTTTATGTTTTGCTGCCAACCTCTGTCTTTCTGTTTTCTCCAGATTTGAAGACGATTCACACAGCTACAGGAAGAAATCTCTTGGTGTCTGGCTGGTGGGGCGTGGTCCGCCACCCAAACTACCTGGGAGATCTCATCATGGCTCTGGCCTGGTCCCTGCCATGTGGTGAGTTGGCTTCACATTTACACCACAAGTAATCAAACACTAAAAGCACTATTTATATGAATCGAGGTGCGGGTTGAAGATTGCACAGTAGGCACCAGTGGCCAGGCAGCGCTTTATTTATTTTATTGCTGGGACACATACGGAAACATGATACAAGCCTTTAATGTAGACATGCACCGATCAATCGGCCGAACTTGGAACATGCTGGTTTTCAGCATTATCTGCCTTAACCAGCTGATCACTATGAGATTTCCAGTTCTGTGCCGCTCAGATTTAGAGGCACAGCAGTCCCTGTCACACAGTAGCATAAACCGAAACTGTAGTGTGCAGCGTGTAGCATCTCACATGCACTTCAAGAAAGACTCGCACTCGTGTCTTTACCAGGCACATGTTCACTCACGCATTGAAAGCCCGTGTAGTCGAAAAAGTGCACAGAGGAGCTAATGGAAACACTTGGAGAAATAGTTCACAGTGAGGAACCTACTGCCTACACATGAAATGCATGTATATGTACAGTGTATCCCATCCATGGTAAAACACAGCAAATACAAACTACACTCACTTCAAAATGAACTGTGTGCTCAGCAGGACTGATGTAATTCAAAATGTATTTAATTCAGTGGTATTTATATCATGCCAAATCACAGCAAAAGTAAGGCCTTGACCTTTGTAAAGTGTCTAGACTGTGTGTGGAGGTAAGCCCGACAGTATCCAGGTGGTATTGCCCCAATTCCTGCGCAAGCTCTGGCTCCTTCCCTACCAGAGAGGTGACATTCCGGCCGACTTGCGTTGCACCCGACCCCGATTCCTTTCCCTGCAGGTAGTTGGTCCACAGGGCGGTGGCCCCATGTCACTTCTTCGGGCTGTGCCTGACCTTGCCCAACCATGCCCCATGGGCCAAGACCTGTCCACGAGATGCTTGTAGGCGAGCTCCCCTCTCAGGACTGGCTTCAGGAGTGTTCCCAGGTTTTCCTAATCTGGGCAGTGTAGTGCAAATTGAAATTGCCATTTAATTAATTAATTTGTTACTAAATTATATAACATCTGTCACTACATGTCTGACAGCCCTGTCCATGTAATTTAGTAAAACATCTGGCCTAACTGATTAATGTGTTTCCTTTCATACGTCCATTATCTATACCGCTATTCCTGAATAGGGTGTAGACAAACAACCACACACATTCACACTCATTCCTAGGGACAATTTAGAGTTGCCAGTCAACCTAAGCTGCATGTCTTTGGACTGTGGGAGAAAACCGGAGTGCCTGGAGAGAACCTACGCAGGCACAGGAAGAACTTGCAAACTCTACACAGAAAGGCCTCAGGTCAGCTGGGGCTGTGAGGCAACAGTGCTAACCACTGTGCCGCCCTGATTAATTTGATCATCATGATCAACATTGTACATAAACTCTTTATATGGTCAAGACCAGAAAAGTCTGAGAATGCAAAATAAAATACAAATTCACCTTTGTATTACAAATATAATTACTTAAATGAAATTACAAATTAAGATGATATAAATCGCAACGAAAACACCACAATACACCATCAAATTGGCATCAAACAAACTAATTCATTAATGTTTTTACTTGTTAAATATCACTCACATTTATGTTTATAGAAGGGACTACCTTTGTGGTTTGGAAGCTTATTTTGCTTCGTTAACATCAAGGAGATGTACAGTTGTTTCTTTTATGAAGGTTAATTTAAGTAGAGTTGACATAAGGATCTATACTCATGTATATAATTGATCTCAATAGCAGCATGTGCATTTGCCTTACAGATACAGTGATCAAGCCAAGGTGTACTATGCAAAGCTTCACTAATATAAGTGAAGCTATTTTAAGGCAAGGCGTGCATTAGACAGACGGATCGGTGCGGTAATGCGCTCTCTGTACCAGTCCGTTGTGGTGAAGAAGGAGCTGAGTCGTAAGACGAAGCTCTCAATTTACCAGTCGATCTATGTTCCTACCCTCACCTATGGCCATGAACTTTGGATCATGACTGAAAGAATGAGATTGCGGATACAAGCAGCAGAAATGAGTTTCCCTCGGAGAGTGGCTGGGCCCGCCCTTAGGGATAGGGTGCAGAGCTCAGTCACCCGTGAGGAGCTCAGAGTAGAGCTGTTGCTCCTCCACGTTGAATGGAACTTGGGCACCTGTTTAGGATGCCCCCTGGGGAGGTATTCCGGGCATGTCCCTCCGGGAGAAGGCCTCAGAGCAGACCAAGGACACGTTGGAGAGACTTTGTCTGGGAACGCCTTGGGGTTCCTCCTGAGGAGCTAGAGGAGGTGTGTGGGGAGAGGGAAGTCTGGGAGGCTCTGCTCAGGCTACGAGCAACCCAGTCTCCTGTTTCCTTGTTTTTTTTAAGTCAGAGTAGCTCTAACTTGCACCTCCAATCTGTTTCTTTGATTGGACTGCAGGTTTGTTATCTCCGGTTAACTTTGTTGATGTCGTTACTCTTATGGTTCATATACTTGGATGGGAATACCAGATGCTCTGGCCTCACCCAGCCACTGGGGTTGCGTGTGCCAGTCCTTAGCCCAGATAAAATGGGTGGGTTGCATTAGGAAGGCCATCCGGCACAAAGCCTGTGCCAAATCACATATGTAGATCATCAATATTCCCTGTGACAACCCCTGAATAACCATTATTGTAACTTTGAAGTTCTGGCCATTTTTCAATGACAACCTTCCCATAAATACAGTTAAACTCAAAGGGTGCTTTTCCTGCCACTACATGAGAATCAGCCATGTTTACTCTGACTTCCAGGCATAACCTTGTTCATGCAATTTGTCCACTAGTTTAGCTAAAATGAATTGGATTAGCAAAACATGAAGGTTATGGGTTTGTGGGACTTTGCTGGAGATGTCTGATGGCGTGGTAATTTGGGTTTTGCATTGACAAGTTTACCACCTAACATGAACTTATTGAATAAATGCTGTGATCAGACTAGAGCATTGTTGTTTATAGTATCTATTCAGTCAAATAACTTGCTCCTGTCCTCCTCTGACCCTTTGCTATCAATATCTGCAGGCTTCAGCCACCTCCTGCCATGGTACTACATGATCTACTTCATCATCCTGCTTGTGCACCGAGATTCCCGTGACATGAGCGAGTGCAGGCGGAAGTATGGCTCGGCGTGGGACGAGTACTGCCGAACTGTTTGCTATCGAATCATTCCCTGTGTGTACTAAAGAACCAGATGTTGGGCACTCCCAAGCTGAGGCCTTTTTCTGATTTGACTTTTTAGAATCTCTTTTTAAACCAAGACTTCTTACGATTTTATTTCTGGACTTTAGGAGCTACGATGCATTGAATTTTTAGATGAAAAAGACAGTCGTGATTATGGACTGTTTGAAGAATTTTTTTTTTTTTTTGCAGAAAATGCTTCAACATCTTTCTTTGAAAGCTTACAGAATGGGAGGCCTCTGCTAGGAATGTCTTGTTAGGATGTATATATTTGTATATACACATTTGTTTTTATACTTCAAGAATAATGCGTCATGTGTACTTCTTGCGAGGTTTTGCTATTAACTCATATTCAAAATGTTGTAATATCAGCTTCACTATTATGAATAATTTTATAAGTAGGCCTTCCTACTATAATTATACAGCTTGTGTATATTCTGATATGGGTAAAATGCTCTTCTTTTTTTAATGACCTGTACAGTGAAACGAAAACTCTTCTCAGGACCCAGAATTTTGTCAGAGTTGAATTAGAAATATTTTGTCTTAATGATTTTATGTACAATTTTATAGGGATATCTAGTTTTGACTTGAGCACAATTATTTTTTTGAAGTTTCAAGAAAAATGCATTAAGGCATTAAGGAATTCTAGTTTCACCAGTTCCAAAGTGTATCTGATGTGGCTTTACTACCTCAGGTTCACTGACTCTCCAGTTCTCCCCTCTCCATGTCCTCTGGGAGGCACTGTAACTGAGCGAGATGTGAAGAGGGAAATGAGTTTGTCATTTCTGCAGTGTTGGTGTTTCTTTGCAACAAACAGAACCTATCCACATCACCGATGTGTCATGTCTTTTGAGTGGATACTCCAAATTGTTTTATTTTTCCCCAGTTATTTCCTGTGTTTTGTGGTGTTGAAGAAACCATCTTGTTTTCACCTATTTAAGCTTTAACTTTCCAGGTCATATAACGATTACCATTTGAATGAAGTTTAGACTGTGAAAACATGCAGCGCCATGGTTTGTTTTAGCATTTATTAATGTGTGCATTTGCAGACTCCAGGAATGTATTTTACAATACACAAGTAGCAATACATTAATTGGGTAGCATTTTTCTGCTGTGCTGACTGAATAGCCTGTAAATATTTTGTTTTTTAAAATCATGTTTTTCAGTAAGAGAAGTGAAAGTAGTAGTAGTAGTAGTAGTATGAGTAATGTTTGTCGATAGATAAATTTTCATTTGAGTTTTTTAAGTTATACTAATTTTGACCACTGTAGCTATGTTTACACCTAGATCTGCTTGTTTCTGGGAAATTCTTCAAATTGTATTAAAATAAATGTAGAGTAGTTGCTTGATTGAAGAAAAATTGTTTTATACTTGAGGTGCCACCATCCTGTATGGCCAAGGACTCATTTTCTCAATGTTATGGTGGTAAACATCTCTCCTTAGTCTGTGAGTTGAAAGTAATAAGTTGGATGTATTTTGATATATGACAGCAATTAATGGCAAGTTAAAAAGATCAGGCACGCTGCCACTGAGCATGAATCAAGTCTGACAGTGGCTGGAAAAAGATTCTCTGTACAAATGTTGCAGCAAAAAATAAAGATTTACAGTATTCCCTTTTTGTGGTGTCTGTGGACTTTGTTCAGAAAGAAGCTCAGTGTGTTATATGAAAATCAGTTTTATTACCTAGGACACTACATTGTTTTCCTGAATAAAATGCACACATTTAAGCCTTGTTTTTTTGTTGTATCATAGTAGTTTTTGTTTGTAACACCCATCAACTGTATAAAATAAGAATGCTATAATGGCTGCCAGGAGTGAAGCCTTGATGTCCCCCTGTTTGCTGGCTGCAGTGTAGGTCATAAATCCTGCCCCCTCCATGTCAGAGGATAAGACATGAGCCAAACTAAAAAGGTTCTCTAATGCCAAGATGGCAGAATTTGATTTGCCCCAGTATTACACTTTCTCCTTAGAATCTGTTTCCTTAGTTTCCTGGAGACAAAATCATTTATGACATCACTGTAAAAGATCCGATGTCCAAATTACTAATTATCATAAGTCTACGCGGTCTTTCTTGTGCCATTAAAGGTTGTTAGGTATTTTTAGTCAGATAGATATTGGTTAGAAACTTGATGTATTAGAAATGTTTAGAGTAGACAGGATGTCTAGCTTAGGCTGTTAAATGTTTAGTCATGCTCATGAGTTTTTGCAGGTTGCTTATGGTCAAGGATAACTAGAGAGAAAGTTAGATTGTTAGAAGACAGGATGGTTATTATTATTATTGTTATGTGTTTAATCGTAATCGTAATCATAATATTTTCTTATGTTTAATGTCATCACATGTCACTAGATGTCATGTCAGAATGTTTTTAGCTACACACCACTTAATCAACAGACACACACACACATTGATTTACTTCATGTTTTGACTACTGCCATGGCCAGCTGCAAAGCTGGCACCAGGGACACGTCACGGTTGACGTTCCTGTGTAGTATGGGGCTAGCCCAACCGAAGAGATAAATGTATAGGCCTGTTGTGGTTCGGGGTCTTTCATCCTTCAGCTGCCTGCGTGCATGTTGGAGGTGCAAGATACCTGAGTGTGTAATGTTAATTTTTACCTGTGTTCATGGAATAAATCAGCACTGTTTTGAAGTTACTTGGACTGTCTTGTCTCTTAGAGTTAGCGTGGCTAAAAGAATCAGAAGACTACAAGGTTTTCAATAGTTCTGCTCTATGGATGCAGCAGTCACAGGGAGAGTGCAGGCTCTCCAAAGAGCTGTCCAATGATGTGGGTACAACTCACAACATCTCATTTTGAGAGAGGTAAGTGAGAAGCTCAAATGTGGTCATCTTTGCTTGGAGGAGTTCTGGAAGGCTCTTTATCTCTGCACCCAGTGCACTTCTATAAACATCAGCCTCTTCTCCAAGAAGCTTACGCTATTCATGCCATGTCTGTGCATCACGCTGGCTACTTCCACTCTCTTTATGGTTTGAGGAACGCAATGTCTTCTCCTTCCGCCTGTTCATTTGTTCACAAATCTCTTTTACTGAGACCTGTGCATCCTTACAACCACTTATATCCAGTTACTGATTAAATCATCTTAGTTTTTCTGAAAGAGGGCCTCTACAACATTGAACTGCATGTTGACATGTGGAGAGAATGTCACACCGGACCACACAGCAAACTTGAACTCTAAATGATCCAATTTCTTCAGCTGTGGAGTCATTAGGCTGTTCCTTGTCTGACTTCTACCACAACTTCTCTCACCTCATCTTTTTGGTAGCATAAAGGTTAGCATAACTCTCCTGTCATGTGTCACTCCAGGACTGGAGTGTGATGTCCACATGCTACTGCAACATGGCCCACCTTTGATGAGAAGAGGCTGTCAGGTTTTTCTACATTTCCAAAAGTGGCATGTTGTAACAGCATCTGAAACATTAGATTTGTATGTGCACCACAAGGCACTTAATAATCACATGAATCTTTTTGCCTAGTCTGCACACCTTTATTTCTGCACCACTCTCATAAGACTGTGCCTACAGTTGTGGAAACGGATGTTCAATTCTTCAAGCTTGTTAAGAATTAGAGTGGACAGCCCAGACCAGTCAGGAGCTGTGAGAAGATGTGTTTCTTTATCTCTGGTGTTTTGTCCAGATTTACAATGCGCACGACAACAAATCTGTGATTAATATCTAGAATGTAATCCAATATTATGCATAACATTTAGAATCACCATTTTATCCTGCATTTTGTCAGTGACACAACTTATCAGCTCATTTTGGATTGTTTTCCACAAGTAACCTATGTGATAATGCTGTGTCACTAGCGATACACAACTGTTCCAGCTTCTGATCACTTCTGAATGCTGATTTCCATTACTGTGGCAGGATGAGAAGTATATTTTTTGTATTCAAAACCAGTGCAACACCTGGCTGATACAGGTCACATGATTTTCAGTGTGGTGAAGCAAGTTTACGAAATATCCTGCTGCGATCAGCAGATGTTCTATAATATCTAATGACATCTGTGAGTTTAAACAGAGATGGCAAATTTTATCTGCCTGTCAGAGAGTCTGAGTTATTTGGTGGAGAACAGCACCATCTTGTGGCAGAAAGAGCTCATGTCTAAATCAAGGGAGAGTTTCAGTACACATTCACATGGAGCGATTAGATGAGAGGTTTTAAACTAGATTAGGTCACAGCAGTTTCTATCGCAGAAACATCTGTCTTATTAGAAATTATTCTTGGTCGCAAATCTAGCCATTTGTTAAAAAATGCAGGTTCTAGCTTGGTTCTTTTCTTCCCACCCATGGTCACAATTAATATGCTTCAAACTTCAGTAAGTTTTTGAGCTAGACAAACTTATTTTTTTAAGTTTAGGTTTTCAGTTCATCCAACAATTTTTTCTTCTGGTAACGTACTCCAAGATAGAGTAACATATTCATTTACATTATCACACCTCAGAACTTTTTATTTTGTCAATTTACACAAACGTAAAGTAACTCAAATCTGTGAGCTGTGTCCATTCAGAACTTTCATTTTGTAACTAAGTCTGGATTTTTTAGTAGTTCAATCGGGAATAATGACGTGTAGCTTTTGCTGCATTGATACCAGCTAAGATAAGTCTGAGATCCTTAGTTCTCAAAATAATCTCCAAGACTGGGATCCAAGCTTCTACCCTCTTCTCGTCCACCGCCGACCTGCTCTGCCGTCCACTGAGACTCCACGTACTACACGCCAGCTCCTGCCTCCTAAGACTTCCTTCCCAGTCAGCCACAATCTCCTGCCCTGAACCCCCATTTCCCTATATGCAGGTCACCTGTGTTGTGCTCTATATTATCACACCCTCATCTGCCTGTTGTCCCCCCTCATAATCTCCTTCTCTGCTCTATACGCAGTGCCAAACCTCTCCTCCAACCCCCAGGCGGCTCCTCCAGTGGTCCAGTCATTTCAGCTGCCCCAACTGCCCAAGACCCACACCGGTAGCTCCGCGTCTGATCCTCGCCACCTCCTTTTTTTTTCCATACTCTGTCTAATAAATATCTTTCTCTGACCTGGGTTTGAGTCCAGTCGCTCTGTTGGTGTGCGGCTTGCTGTAACAAATGCATGCTGGGAAGTATATGTTAATAAGATGTCTAACTTGAATTAATGAGTTAACTAAACTATTCATTCTAGGGGTAAAACTAGATAAGTATTACTTCTTTCTACTCCCTTGCAAGCATGTAATGATTAAGCATTATCAAGAGAAATTTCTATTTTTTTTTTGGTTGTATATGGTAATTGGTTTGGCTGTTTTGTGTTACATGTTGATTTCCTTTTTTTTCTTTTTCTCTCTTTTATTACATGCTTGGAATAAATAAATAAATAAATAATAATACATTTAGTCAACTGAACTCACGATTTTAAGTTTCTTATTTGTTCCTGCATTCTCCAACTACAGAAGGTAAATTAATAGAACATTTCTCCATTGGTAATCAATCACAGAATAAAATTTTAATTTATCAGGACCGGTGGCCTTTATAGTCTATACAGTATATGACACCTTCTGTCCTTTGACCCTTGAATTGCCCTGAAATGAAATCGCATTTTGGGTGAGCAGGAAAGGTTACAGCAACTCAGACCCATTCTCATGTGCATATGGATGTGCCAATATATATTGTATAGAATCCTGAACTTAAGAGCCAAATAAATTCACTAATCTATACAACAGAATGCCTACAGCATGAACATGAATACTTGTAAGTATTATGAAGCAGCTTTTGACATTCCTATGACTTCTTGACGAGGACGGCTGCTGGAAACTGGCCAGCTCTCAACTTTTCAGGAGATGCACAGGGAATTTCAAACAAGTTTATTACCCTTTCTCAGAATTAGTATGCAATATGAAGTGGGGACATGGCAGTGAGAGAAGAACATTGTACAAGCACAATGAAATTTTGAATAGGCCTACCTACAATGGTGTTACATAAACAAATAAAATAAAAGTGAGTAACATGACGTGTACATTAAATATATACACCTACAATATACAAACAAGTGCTTATTCTGTCAATAACCAGTGGTTAACATGACTTCTGTCTTGAGTACAAGCTCATAATAGTGAGTATTACACATCTTCCTTAGGAAGGGTCTGAAGGACAATGACTTTGCATGAGCAACAATTATATAGTTGTTCATACGCGGTTCAGTGCACATATAGCTCTTGGATAAAAACCGTTCTTAAGTCCATCGGTGTGTCCTTACATCCCCAGTGTAAGGAGATAGCCCTGCAGTGTTTGTCAGAGGGGACCACTCACAAAGATAACGTCCAGGGTCTCTAACGAAGCCATGTGCCTTGTTGAGGCAGTGAGATTTGTAAATGTCTCTCAGTTTGGGGGAGGGGCAGTCAATGATCTTCTTGTAGAAATGACCCTTTGACTGCCTTGGCAGCAGTTGCCAAACCACACCACACTGCCATAACACAGCACACTTTCTCTGCAGTTTCAGAAGGCAAGCAGCATCTTTTCAGCAACATTGTTTCTTCTGAGTATTCAGAGAAACTGTAGTCGCTGTTGGGCCTTCTTCACAAGTACTGCTATGTTTTTGCTCCAGGACAGGTTCTCCTCTGAGTATTTGCAA